TCATTAGCCTTTTCCTTCCATGTCAGTTTGGCAAGTGCCTGCTGTTTCCTCAGGCCTCAGCTACAGCTCAATTATCGTCTCTCCAAAACCTTCCCTGACAGCCTGGGCTCCTCCCAGGGTGCGCTGGGTTCCTGTTCCCTGGGTCTTTGTTCGGTCTTGTGGAATGTGTGTTGCAGACCTTCTCGCATTCCTGTGAATTTATTTGCTCACCTCTCTCCCCCCTAGTTTGCCTACCTTGAGATGAGGGACTGGATTTTACTTTGACACCTGGAGCACTTAGCGGGCAGTCCAGTACATGAGGGCGGACACGTATTGACTGGTCATTGTATGCCACGCACTGCCTCGAGCACTTCCCATGTGATGACTTACCAAGTTCCCACATGACACTGAGAAATAGGTTCTCTCAACATCCTGTCTTTACACGGGAAGGAACTGAGGTACCAGGAGATAGTTTGCCCAAGGGCATATAGCCAACCCAGCAGTGTGGCTTCAGAGTCTGTTTTTTTTTTTTAAGATTTGATTTACTTGAGATAGAGAGTAAGAGACAGAGAGAAAGCACACAGGACGGGGAGAGGGGCACAGGGAGAAGCAGATTCCCCCGCTGAGCAGGGAGCCTGACAAGGAGCTCGATCACAGGACCTCAGGATTATGACCTGAGCCAAAGGCAGATGCTTAACTGATGGAGCCACCCAGGCCCCCCCCCCCCCCGCTTTTTTTAACAGCCAGGGTCCACTGTCTTTTCCCAGAGTCAGCACTGAATGCGTGGGTCATGTATGGGCAGTTTTCCTTGCACTTTTGATATCATGAGCTGATCTTTTCAGTCTGAGAATTAAGTCTGGAAAAGGCCCAGACTTGTCCATTCATTCGCTTATTTGGCACCTGTTACATGCTAAACTTGCCACATGTACGTGAACAGTGTAATTTCCATTCATCAGGAGCACACATTACAAGAGAGAAAGCAAAAAGTAACCAGAAAAAGGGCCGTACAATATGAAAAGTTATAGTGGATGTGAGTACAGGATCCTGTGGTCTGACGAAAGAAGAATGACCCCCATGGGCGGGGGACTCGGGAAGATCACTAGAAAAGCCCTCTCATCGTCCTAATCTTTGTGGTCACTTGGAGTGGCCAGTGATAGGCTTTGTCACATTCACGCAGCCATGTCTCAGTAGTCTTTGAGTTTGTTTCTTTGTTTTTTGAAGATTTATTTATTTGAGAGAGCATGTGGGAGTCGGGGGGGCAGAAGGAGAGGAAAAGTAGGTTCCCCACTGAGTGTGGAGCCCATGTGGGGCTTGATCCCAGGACCCTGAGAGATCATGGTCTGAGCTGAACCAAGAGTTGGATACCTAACTGACCACACCACCCAGATGCCCCTTAGATTTTAGGATTTCCATATTTGTTTTTTTTTAAGATTTTATTTATTTATTTGACAGAGAGAGAGATCACAAGTAGGCAGAGAGGCAGGCAGAGAGAGAGAGCCTGAGCAGAGAGCCTGATGTGGGGCTCGATCCCAGGACCCTGAGATCATGACCTGAGCCGAAGGCAGAGGCTTAACCCGCTGAGTCACCCAGGTGCCCCAAGATTTCTTTATTTGAAAGGGGGAGCAGAAGGAGTGAATCTTCAAGCAGACTGTGCACTCAGTGAGGGGTCTGGCGTGGGGTTCAATCCCATGACCCATGAGATCACAACCTGAGCTGAAACCACGAGTCAGATGCTCAACTGACTGAGCCCCCCAGGAGCCCCTGGTCTCAGGTTTCTGGACAGGCTTTCTGAGGGAACGACTGCCGTGCCCATTTGTGCAGGTTGGGTTCCACACAAGGAGACCACAGTGAGGATGTGCCATTCACATAGAAGACTCACACACAGTTTTTCAGCAAGGAGCAGCAAAAGTGCTTTCTCTGTTCTGACAGAAGCAGTGTATTATAATAATTTCCAACAAATGGGAGAAAAACATCTTGAAGAAGGGATGCATTTTTCTAATCAGTCTAAAGGTGCATTGGCAGGGGCTAGAGACAGCCCTGCCTGCAGTCCAGCCTCTGGCCCTTAGGGCTAAAGTTAGATCTCCTAGAGTCCTTCGGCTCAGATACTCACAGATCAAATATATGACTTTGTCATCATTACATGACATTTAGTCTCTCACACACATGGAAGAAATGGCCTTTATCCTGTTCCCCAGACAATTACACTTGATTGCTAGGTATATCCAGAAAAGTTCAGGTTAGTCTCTCTCCTCGATCCTGAATGCTCTAGAAATTCTGAGAAAAAGAGCCAGGAATCTGGAAGCAGGACTTTGGGGCTTGTATTTCCGATTGTGTTTCCTGGCAGTCGCAGTTCCAAATTCAACTTCTGCTTTTCTGTTGGGTCCCCTTCCCCTCAAGAGGTCGCTGTGGGCACCTGATCTCTGTCCTGCCGCAGTGACTCCCATCCCAGTGATGGCTGGGTTGAGTGAGTGAGAGGAGCATTTGTGGGAGAGAGCTGTGTGCTCCTGGGCAGGTCGGGGGGAAACAAGGGTCTTGGGGCATCATGTGCCACTTTCTCTCGGTAACCCACCTCCAGATCGACTTCACCTTTCCACCCTGCCATCCACGCAGAGAGCCTGCCACTGCCCTCTGGCCTGGTTATCCTTGGCCAGTGGGAAGTCCCAACAGGAGAGTTTGAGAGAGAGAGAGAGAGGGAGGAGAGTGAATTGAAATATCTGGTCTCCCCATTTCTCTCTGTAGGCTCCCTGCCCTTCTCAATAAAAAGTTACAGTTCCCATCAGGGACCTTTTGCACACTCTTTTCCAGGTCCAGGAATCTCCCTCCTATTACCCACTTCAGGCCCAGATGTAGTAATGGCACCTGCCTGTCACTCCTCAGCATGGTGCCTTCTCCCCCATGCCTTCCTTACACCCAGCCTACACCCCTGTAAGTAGTCTGTTTATTAACTGCCCGCCTCAAATTTGAATGTGCCATCTGGTTCCTGCCCGGGCCCCGACTTCATAAAGGCAGGGAGGGCTTGAAACCAGACATCTGGGAAACCAAACTCCCTCCCACATGTGTGTGGGTGCGTGTGTGCACGTAAGTCAAGCTGACGCATCGTTGGCTCTTAGGAGAGAGCCGGTTCTGGAAGCAGAGAGCCCGATGTGCTGTGTCTTTGTACGTGCATCTAGTATGTCAGGGCTGTTTCTGTTTTTGTGTTTGTTAGTCTCAAGGAACACTGAATGCTTGACAAATGGCAACACCTTTACCAGGTACAGCAGATAAAGGATGAAGGCTTGGTTATGTCATCAGGATTTATGTTTGTTTTGTTTTGTTTTGGACAAGTTAGGGAGAAATGTTATTTGATAGGTTTTAACTCATATAAAATTATGTGATTGGCCCTGTACTAAGAGGTTTAGCAAGTCTTTGTTGGAGCCCAGAATAAGGGTGATTAAGGCTTTCTACTAAAGGCAGGGAAGGGGTGGGGGAGAGTGGAGGTTTGCCAAGAGTCATTTCATATTCTATTAACCTGATTCTGTTACCCTGTAAGCTGCCAGAACTTGTAACTCAGGGGGTGACCAGCAGACGGGTGCCCATTGGAGAACTAAATGTTAGTGCTCTCTGACCAGATAATCTCAGAAATTGAGTGGAAACATTTAAAAATCAGTATAGCAATTTCAGTAATCATGTGATAATTGATTAATAATTTTTAAACAGGCCTGTAATTTGTATGCCTCGGTATTTCCTTTTTCTAGAAATTTCTTTTAAATGGTGTTTTACCAAAATATTAGTTGGTGACAGATTGAAAATAACCGTGAAAAGAATATGAAACTGGTCCTTCACCACAGGTAGTTTGAAGAAAGCATTACTTGAGAGGACAGAGACCTGGTTTTTGGTTTTTATCTTTTAATCTTTGAGGTTCCCACAGTGCCTAAAGCAGAAATTTCATACACTAAGTTTCTCCTGAAAGGCCAGAGGCCACCATGGTTATAGAGTTTATCAGACAGGAGATAAACACTGCAGTCAAAATGGTGACTTGAGAAGAGTTTAAAATAAAGGGACAGTTTTCAAAAGTGCAGACAGGGTGTGGTCATCAAGAAAGGATATTGTAATGTGCCATATCTGGTCACAGCAGGGTAACTTCCTGTCCCTAGGATGGAAAGACTAAGGGAGGAAACAGTTACCAAACCTGGGGAAAGATTTGAGACAAGGGCCACAGACAGGCGCTTTGACCTTTGGTCAAGGGACATGAAACAGAGCTGGTCCAAAGCAGCCCCCAGGGGAAGACCTGGGGGAATAAATACTCTGATTTCAGGTCTGTCCCATTCCCGAATCTCTGGCCAACTTTCCCTATTGGCTGAATTCAACTGGAAGCAGGAGGGCAAGGGGATTCCCCGTTAACAGGCAGGATGGAGAAGAGACTTGAGTGGACGAGGAGTCACCTGCATTTAGGATTGAGTTCTTAGTTCAGGAGCCTGTGAACTTTCCCAGAGCAGAGAGCATGCCTTTCATGGCGTAGGTATATCGTCAAGTATTTGCGAAAGTGACGGGGCCCCAGAGGATGGAATGGGGGCTGGAGGGAGATCATTCTGGAAGACAAGAGTTAAGATCTGAGCTAACTGAAAGTTTTTCAGAGCAAGTCTCCTACGAGAAAGTGGACACAGAGGGAGGTCCGCTGTCATTCTGAGATCCCTGTCCAAGTCAGGAATTCTGGAGCCTTTTTTCCAGAGTAATTAGGATATGGGTGACGCCAGCACATTCACAGGTCTACGAACAAGAAAAAGTGTGGCAGTTTGGACCCAAAGTCTTGGGGAGAGAGATAGGAGTTCTACAAGAATCCGGGTGGAGTGGGGGCAGGGGAACAAGGCTTGAGGAGATGGGAGGGAGTCTCTTGGGTATGAGAGAGGTAAAGTGATCTCGGGAGAGAAGAATGTGTGAGGAAATTGTACAGACAAGGAGAAACCAGGATTCACTCACAGTTTGTCAAACCCGTGCTCTCATGGATTCTTTCTTTGCAGCTCTGCTTTCTCAGGATCCTGCTCCTTCCAAGAGGAAGACAGTATGATTAAATTCCAGGTAAGTTGAGGTTTCCTTTCTCTCTCTTAAAGGCCAGTGTCACTTCTGAGGAGTTGGACACCCCGATTCTCTGAAGGGAGGTCGCCCATTTCTGAGGGACGGCTCCATTTTGGGCACTTTGCCTTGCTCGTAACCGCTGTGGGAGACTGGTGATGTCACTCCCTTTGCAGACATGATGAAACAGGCTCTCAGATGTTCAGATGTCCAGGTGAAGTTCACACACAAGTGCCAGTCCATGAGCTGCTTATCACTGAGAGATCAATAAAGCAATCGAGAGTAAGAGTTCAGCAACTCTTTTGCAAAAAGATTTATTTATTTATTTATTAGAGAGATTGAGAGAGAGAGAGAGAGAGTGTGTGTGTGTGTGTGTGTGTGTGTGGGCAGGGGGAGGAGCAAAAGAGAGGGAGAGGGAGAAGCAGACTCTCCACGGAGCATGGATCCAGCAGGGCTGGATCCCACGACCCTGAGATCATGACCTGAGCCAAAACCAAGAGTTGGTCACTTAACCAACTGAGCCCTCTAGGTGCCCTGCATTCAGAAAGCCTTGTAGCAATGCAGTATTGTCACAGCCTCTGAGTGCATGGTTGGGGTTTGGTATGTACATGACCACACTTGGAGTGGCACTTGGTCCAGTCCACATCAGTAGCAAGATCTGAGTGTGGATGTATCCATCAGGGTTCAACCAGTGAAACAGAAATAGTACGAGATATATATTAAGATTTGTAAGAAGTTTATTTTCTGTGACTGTGGGGGCTAGGCAAATCAGAAATCCCAGGGCAGACTGGAACTCTTAGACATAGACTGATGCTACTGTCTACAGGTAGAATTTCTTCTCTTAGGGAAGCCTCAGTTCTGGGCTTGAAGCCCTTCAACTGATTATACCAGGCTCACCCAGATTATTTAAAATAGTTTCCCTCCAAGTCATCTGATTATGGGCTTTAATCACATCTATAAAATATCTTCACAGCAACACCTAGATTAATGTGTGCTTCCACAATAGGACTATAGTCTAGCCAAGTCGATGCCTCAAAAGGCCATCAGAGAGTAGAACAAGGGTTTTTTTTAAATCATGAAAAATATTTTAATTATGAAATTACTCAAAAAGAGAAAATAGTACTGTGAATCTCTGTGTGTAGTACCCATAGTGCAAGTTTCAACATCTTGCCACATCTGCTTAATCTATCTTTTCCATTTTCCTTTTTTCTTTCCCAAAGCATTTTATTTCATTTTAGGGTTTATTTATTTGAGAGATAGGGAGAGAGAGGCTTAAGCAGACTTCACACTGAGCACGGAGTTCGATCCAGGGCTTGATCTCATGACCCTGAGATCACAACCTGAGCTGAAACCAAGAGTTGGATGTCCCAAAGCATTTTAAAAGAATACCCTGGATAACATGTTATTTCATTTTGTATCGGCTTTGTTCTGAGCTCCCACTCACTTCCATCTTGCCCAGGTCCACACTGACTCCCATTAAGTGCATTTTCCATCTTACGTTACTGCCAACGACTGTTTTACCAAATGTTTCACACTGTATCATCCAGGGGCTACCATATTTTCCAGGCTCTGATAACAGTTTCCCCAAGTGTTGCCACTGGGTCCCCAAATACCGCTGGAGGTATTTCTTTGGTAGTGCTCTGTTTATGGTAGAATCTTTGTACTGGTTAGCATGGACGTGATGGGTGCGGGGAGAGGGCCAAGGAAACAAGCGGAACCTGCCGGACCTCTGAAGGCCTGGGCTCAGAACGGGAACAAGTCACAGGGCCAAATCCAAAGTCGGGGGCAAGGAAGTACGCACTGATCCTTGTGGAAGTGGGGAGTGTGAGGGGATTTTGCTGAATAGCAGTCTAATTTACCACTGTCTATTTCTACCGAAAATACAAAAGAAATGGCTGAGATTATCAGTAATTCTTGGGTATCATCTAATACCTCCGCAATAATCAGTTCTCCCTGATTATCTCAAAAATGCCTCTTTTTGGTGTCATTCAGTGGGTTCCTCTAGCTACAACGTTTCCTGTAGTGGGAGCACTAAGTGCTTGAGCAAATTTAGGTTCCAGATTTTACAAGAGGACTTCATAGATGGTGCTGCGTGCTGAGAAAACTATTTTAAAACCTTTGATTATATCTGTATTGGTTTATACATTTGGTTTATGAGTATTTTGGGACTGTCCTTGTACCTGCATTGTATGACAGTCTCTGCATGGGACCCCAGCGAGGGACCCACCCAATGGCAAACGGTGGTGGAAAATGGGTATTTCATTTTTTTCAGACAGTTGAGGCCAAGAAGGGAGTAGGGGGTTAGGCTGGGTGAGCCTGCATTCCTAACCCCTTCTCCCTAGTGTCTGTCCCACATCGGCTGTTTGGGTATCTGTACTTCCTGGCCCACTCACTCCAACTCCATTTTGTCACCTCCCACTGAGGAAAGCAGTGCTGCTAAGATATACCAGGGGGGTTAGGAACAACAGAAACTTACTTTCACAGCTCCGGAGACTAGGAAGTCCAAGAACAATGTGGCAGATGTGGTGTTTGGTGACAGCCTACTTCGGATTCATAGGTGGTCATCTTCTTGCTTTGTCCTCACATGGCAGAAGGTGTGAGCTCTCTGGAAAGCCTTTTCTGAGGGCCCTAATCCTGTTCATGAGGTTCCACTCCCATGACCTGATTACCTCCTAAAAGCCCCACCTTTTAATACTATCACCTTGAGGGGTAAGATGTCGACATATGAATTTGGGGGGGACACAAGCATGAAGTCCATAATGCCCCCCTAGTTTTTGTTTTCAATAATTGTCAGGTGTGTTTTTTTTTAAAGATTTTAATCTACTTATTTGACAGTGAGAGACACAGCAAGAGAGGGAACAAAAGCAGGGGGAGTGGGAGAGGGAGAAGCAGGCTTCCCGCTGAGCAGGGAGCCCAATGCGAGGCTCGATCCCAGGACCCCGAGACCATGACCTGAGCTGAAAGCAGACACTTAACAACTGAGCCGCCCAGGTGCCCCAATTGTCAGGTTTAGGAATAAATTCTTTGTGAAATACGTCGTAACTTCTCACAACTGTGGTTGGAAGCATTTTCGAGCTATGGAGTCTATGGAGAGGGTATATCTGTGACCATGTAACTGGGCAGTTGTTGACCCAGTTGAGAATAAATTATATTATCCATCCCTAAATACTTCCGTATGTATCTACTAAGAATAAGGGTGTTTTCCTACATTTCCACATTACTGACATCACACTCAAAACATTTCTTTTTTTATTCAAGTAAAATTAACATACAGTGTTAGAGTTTCAGGGATACAATGTAATGATTCAACAATTCCATGCGTTTTTCATTTTTCGGTGCTTCTCATGATAAGTGTGCTCTTAATCCCCTCTGTTTTCCCCACATCCCCACCCACCTCCCCTCTGGCAACCACCATCAGTTTGTTCTCTGTATTTAAGAGTTTGGTTTGTTGTTTGTCTCTTTGTTTTCCTTTAATTATTTTTTTTCTTAAATTCCACATGTGAGTGAAAACAATATGGTATTTGTCTTTCTCTGAGTGACTTATTTCAGTTAACATTATATCATCTAGGTCCCTCCAGATGGCCAGATTTCATTCCTTTTTATGGCTGAGTAATATTCCATTGTATATGTATACCACATCTTCTTTATCCATTCATCTATATCGATGGGCACTTGTGTTGCTTCCACATCTTGGGTATTGTAAATAATGTTACAGTGATCATATGGCTGCATATATCTTTCTGAATTAGTGCTTTCATTTCCTTTGGGTAAATACCAGGCATAAAAACAAACTCAAAATGGATTAAAGACCTAAATGTGAGACCTGAAATCCATTAAATTCCTAGAAGAAAATGTAGGCAGTTATTTCTTTGACATTAGCAGTAGAAACATTTTTCTGGATATGTCTCCTCTGGGAAGGAAAACAAAAAGCAAAATTAAACTCTTGGGGCGACTCCAAAATAAAAAGTTTTTGCACAGAGAAGGAAGCCAGAAACAAAACAAAGACAGTTTACTGGATGGGAGAAGATAGTTATAAATGCTGTCTCTGATAAGGGGTTAATATCCAAAATATATAAAGAACTTACACAACTCAACACCAAAAAATGCCAAATAATCCAATTTAAAAAGGAGCAGAGTACACAAATAGACATCTTTACAACAAAGACATGCAGACGGCCAACAGACACATGAAAAAGATGCTCAACATCACTCATCATCAGGGAAAAGCAAATCAGAACCACAATGAGGGGGCATCTGGGTGGCCCAGTTGTTTAAGCCTCTGCCTTCAACTCGGGTCATGATCCCAGGGTCCTGGGATCGAGTCCCGCATCGGGCTCTCCGCTCAGTGGGGAGTCTGCTTCTCCCTCTGCCCTTCTACCTCTTCCCCTACTTGTGCTGTATCTTGTTCTCTCTCTCTCTCAAGTAAATAAATAAAATCTTAAAAAAACCACACACAATGAAATATCACCTTACACCTGTCAGAATGACTAAAATAAAAACACAAGAAATAACAAGTGTTGGCCCCCGTGTGGAATAAAAAGAAGCTTTGTGCACTGTTGTTGGGAATGAAAATTGGTGTAGCCTCTATGGAAGGACAGTATGGAGGTGCCTCAGAAAATTAAAAATAGAACTACCATATGAGCCAGTAATTCCGCTATTGATTCTACTGTTTTTTAATACTCAGTTGATGCTCAAATGGTCCCAAGTGTCCCAATAATTTCCTTTTTACTTAAAAAAAATCTGGCAGCCCATGCTTCTAGTTGCTTTGTCTGCTTAGTCCAATGGAAGTAGATTAATCTGCTGTGACAGAGAAAATAAAATATCAAGTCTTGATGTATGATAGGGAATGAACACCCAGACACTACTAGGTCAGTAGTATCAGCACGAACTTTTTGGAGGACGGTTTGGACAATATCAGTCAAAGTGTAAAATACCCATAACCCAAGAAACTCAGTAGTCTCTGGTCTAGGAGTTTATTTTAAAGATTTTATTTATTTGTTATTTATTTGACAAACAGAGACAGAGATCACAAGCAGGCAGAGAGGCAGGCAGAGGGAGAGGGGGGGAAGCAGGCTCCCCACTGAGCAGAGAGCCCGATGTGGGGCTCGATTCCAGGACCCTGAGATCATAACCTGAGCTGAAGGCAGAGGCTTTAACCCACTGAGCCACCCAGGTGCCCCTAGGAGTTTATTTTATAGAAATGCTTTTATAAGCACTCAAAGACAGATGTTCCTGGATGTTTACTGGAACATTCTTTGTGCAACTCCAGATGCTTAATGGGGGCACAGGCAAAGAGGAGAAAAGAAAAATTTGGGGGCGCCTGGGTGGCTCAGTGGGTTAAACCGCTGCCTTCGGCTCAGGTCATGATCTCAGGGTCCTGGGATTGAGCCCCACATCCGGCTCTCTGCTTGGCAGGGAGCCTGCTTCCTCCTCTCTCTCTGCCTGCCTCTCTGCCTACTTGTGATCTCTCTCTCTGTCAAATAAATAAAAAATAAATAAATCTTAAAAAAGAAGAAGAAAAACTTGGCCTACCCAAAACTTTGGATTTCTTCTGTATTTCTCATTTCTTCTGCACTAGTAAGGGTCCATTCAGGACACAAAAAGGACACTGGCTATTTGAACAGGAAGAACTTAATAGAATTGTTGACGAGGTATGGAGTCCTACCTAGTCCTATCTAGTCCTACCTAGGGGTAACTCAGTGGGTAACTGAGGGGATAGAGAGAACTCTACAATATCTTGGAAGCACCAGCTTTGGGAAGTAACTGCGAGCCTGGCTGAGGGAACCAGAGGGAGAGATTGAATCATGGGAACTTGGAAGTTTAGAGGACAGGCCGTGTGGAGCCGATATGTGAAGAGGAGGTGCTGGCTGGCGTCTCAGAGCTCAGCAAAGAAGCCTAGGGACCAGGGACCCAGACTTCTGGTATCACTAGGGAAAGGGACTGCTGCCACCAGCAGAGCATAGCATTACAGAGAGGATACCAGAACAGGAGGCAAACCTGCCAGGAACAAGTCCCTTCTTTCTCCCCAAACTTTGCAGGCTCCCTCTTGCGCCCCCTAGTGGCAGAGCCTCGAGCAGAGCCAGTGCTCAGATTCCGTGTGTTTGCAGAGTCCTGGCTTCCGCGTTGCAAAGTGCGGTTTGAACTGGAGAGTTTGGAGCAGAAGGACAGCCACCTAAGGACCCGCAAAGCTTCCGGCTGTGCCCGTCCGCCAGTGCTCATCTGCAGATGGTCCATGTGGCGTGTGCTTGATGTTTTAGGAAACTGTGACCTTCAGGGACGTGGCTGTGGTCTTCACGGAGGAGGAGCTGGCACTACTGGACCGGGCCCAGATAAACCTGTACCAGGACGTGATGCTGGAGAACTTCAGGAACGTTGTCTCAGTGGGTGAGGACAACAAGCCTCTGTACCTAAGCTGCAAACCACGGGCCCTATTTCCTCAAATAATCAGCTGCAAACCAGATAGAATGTTCCAGCTGGAGCACAAAGAGAAACTTTGGCCACTGGTGAGAATACCAGAGAGACGCACATGCCAAGGAGACCCCCGAAGTTAGTGAGTTTTAGCAGATGAATGTGAGCAAATGGCCTCCTGTGAGAGGTTGGTGAGGGAACCCTCAAGCTTGCACCCCGAGGCCCATGGGGTTGGTGGTACAGTTGGCGAGACCAGCCTGGCCTACTCTCATTTTAGGCTGTCATCTGCTCCGTGTTTCACAAAGCGAGGTTCATAAAGTTTACACACTACCAAGGGCCTTGGTCCCTTGGTTGCTTCTGCAGAAAAACCAGTGTTTTGGGCAAACTAGTGTTAAAGGAACTAAACCAGGATCTGGTGTATAGTGAGTGGGATACAAGTGTCAGCTGCTTTGCTTTCTTGTTGATAAATATCTAATTTTAATGTCACAGAGGTTCATGTACCTGCTCTATTACCTTGGTTTAGTTTATGACATGGTTGCTATTCCTTCTTTTACAAAGGAAACAGCTGATGCACAGAGAAGTTAAATAACTTGCCCATGGTCACACCCCTTGTGAGAAGTAGGCTGCGAATGCTTCTAACTTGGCTGCAGACCCTGTGTTCTGTTTTGTTTTGTTTTGTTTTTAGAAAGAGAGAAAGTATGTATGTGTACACGTGGGAGCGGAGGTGGGGGAAGGAGCAGAGAGAGAGGGAGAGAAACCTAAGCAGATTTCGTGGCTCAGTGTGGAGCCCAAGGCAGAGATCGATCTCACAACCCTGAGATATGACCCGAACCTAAATCAAGAGTTAGACACTTAACCATCCGAGCCACCCAGGTGCCCCTAAACCCTTTAATAACCATGTGAAACTAAGTACCACGATGTCTATAGGTTATGGACATATGGCTAGTCTGCAGGATTCAGCACTGTCAGTGAGTCTGAAATCAAGTTACTGTATAATGATCAGCAGGGTGTTTTTTTTTAAAAGATTTTATTTATTTATTTGACATACACACAGAGAGAGAGATAGGCAGTATTTAGGCAGAGAGACAGGCGGGGGTGGGGGAAGCAGTCTCCCCACTGAGCAGAGAGCCTGATGTGGGGCTCCATCTCAGGACCCTGAGATCATGACCTGAGCCGAAGGCAGAGGCTTAACCCACGGAGCCACCCAGGTGCCCCATGATCAGCAGTTTTTAAAAAGTAAGATAGATTAATGGACCAGAACACAAAAGAATTTATCAGAGTACGTTGCATCTAGGAAGGTAAGTACCAGCTGATAAAACTGCTTTAGTTAAAAGTCAGTGTCTATTTGCGCATACCGGGCCACGGTGCGGGTGCTTTCCTTACTATGGATACTGTCGAAAGTACTGGAGAACTGCTCCTTTAGGCCTCTTGTGGGGAACTCCAACTCCCCCTTTCTCTGACACCACCTTACACACTAACGTCAGTTTCAATCAAATGACTCAGAAACTCCTTGAACGAGAAGCCGTGTCCAGATGCTCCTGACCATAGTGTTCCTGCCATTCTGAAGCCCATTTTAGGGTGCCAGGGACCACCCTCCTCTACTCATCTCCATATGTTTTATGGCCCTTTGGCACAATCTTGCTTCTTGACAGGTCCACATTTTCCATTCTCCTAATTGTGGCTGTTTGAGATTCTGCAGTTATCTAAAGAGGAGATGTTAAGGAAATGGATTTGCAGGATCTTAGAGCCTGTGACTCTTGATCTTGAGGTTGGGAGCTCAAGCCCCACATTGGGAGTAGAGATTACTTATAAAAAGGATTACTTATAAAAAAAAAAAAAGGAAAAAATTACTGGGTGGATTATAGGATCTTGGTGGACTTCATCTCTTCGTGGAATCCAGAGAAGCTCAGAGAAAAGGATGTCTCTTTAAGCCTGCCTCAGAGGTGTACATATGCCTCCCCCACCAACCCCAGGACCATATTTCACAATATTATCCCTATAGCAGTCCCCATTGCTGTTTTAGGCTGACCACATACAGTTGGGCAGGTTGTGCAGAAACATACATGATAATCCCACCTCATGTGACAGTAAAGTGAGACTAGACTTGTTGTTTATTTCTGCAACTTTATATGATATCTTGGAAGGTCTTTGTGATCCTTTGTGTCTGTCATCATGTCCAGCACTCTCATTGTTGTCTCATATATACACATGCACATACCTTGAATCATGGGAGTCTTCCCCATACCTTTTTTTTTTTTTTTTTGCTTTGAGAGAGAATGTGTGCAAGTGGGAGGAGGGGCAGAGGGAGAAGGAGAAGGAGAATATGGGCCTCAATCTCATGACCCTGAAATCATGACCTGAGCCGAAGTCAGGAGTCAGTTGCTTAACCAGCTGAGCCATCCAGGCACCCCTTCCTCATTCCTTTTGTAGAAAAATGATTAAAGATGTTTTATCAGCTGCTTTTATAGGAGGGAAGTGAATTTCTTTCTTTATAAATTGTTCCCAAGATTTCTTTTGATTACTCGGCAATATCTGATTTTAATGGGCAGCTCATGAATTAGAAGTACCATGATTCTGATGGTTTCCTATATCAACAGGGGCCACCCCCATCCTACTTCATTTCTCAAAGCCTCTGGAGGGATGACTTCCTTGTTCTCTTAGCCAAATTCTCTTTCTCCTCATAGGATACAGGATTAAAAACAACACTTCACCTCTTCAGGGAAAAGTGTTGAGTTATCTCTCTCAAGGAGTGCTCTACTGCTGGCAGAGTTTGAAACAAACGATCAATGAATTAACTGTGAGTCAGGAGTATGTCATGAATCTTCAAGGAGATTGTCCCCAATCTTTAGAAGATGTTTCCCTCTGTGAAGAGTGGGTGGGAGAGTCTCTTCAGGTTCCTGAACATGACAACTATGTAATAAGTGCCATTAATTTAGAAAATCAAGATGGCACAGCAGGGAAAGGCATGACACAGGCTCTTACCCCAGAATCTTGGCGGGAAGCCAACATGATGACTGAGACCCAGAATTGTCAAGGACAATATGAGGGAATTCATGTGGAAGAGAGACTATATGGATGTGCTCGGTGTGATGACGATGTCAGTCAGACATCATGTGATCATGATGATTCCCAAGAATGTAAAGAGGAGGAACCTTGTAGATCCACTGACTGTGGCAATCTGTTGGCTATGAAATCAACAGCCAAACAACATAACACGGTCCCTTTGGTACCACGACCTATCAAATGTCATAACCATGGTGTGGGCTTCGTAGATGGTGCGGACCCTCCTGTTCATCCCAGCACTCACATAGGAGAAGAGTCTTGTAGATGTGACCAGTGTGGAAAGGACTTTAGTCAGAGCTCAGATCTTACTGTTCATTCTAAAACTCGTTCAGATGACAAAGCTTATGAATGTCGAGAGTGGGCAGAGGGCAGCAAGCAGAACCCAGCCCCTCCCAGATATCAAAAGGGCCCCTCGGGAGACAAACCCTATAAATGTCTCGAATGTGGCAAGGTCTTCAGGCGCAACTCCTCTCTTCACAACCATCACCGGGTCCACACGGGGGAGATGCCCTACAGATGTGACGTGTGTGGGAAGGGGTTCGGGTTTAGGTCGCTTCTTTGCATCCATCAGGGAGTACACACAGGTGACAAGCCCTATAAATGTGAAGAGTGTGGGAAGGGCTTTGACCAGAGCTCCAATCTTCTTGTCCACCAGAGAGTCCACACTGGAGAAAAGCCCTACAAATGCAGTGAGTGCGGCAAATGCTTCAGTTCAAGCTCTGTTCTTCAAGTCCACTGGAGGCTGCACACAGGGGAGAAGCCTTTCAGGTGTGGCGAGTGTGGAAAGGGCTTCAGCCAAAGCACACACCTTCACATTCACCAGAGAGTCCACACGGGGGAGAAACCCTATAAATGCAACGTGTGTGGAAAGGCTTTTGCATATAGTTCAGTTCTTCACACTCATGAGAGGGTTCACACGGGGGAAAAGCCTTACAGATGTGAAGTGTGCGGTAAAGGCTTCAGTTACAGCTCGTATTTTCACTTGCATCAAAGAGACCACACCAGAGAGAAACCGTATAAATGTGATGAGTGTGGTAAGGGCTTCAGTCGGAATTCAGACCTTCATGTGCATCTCAGAGTCCACACAGGAGAGAGGCCCTATAAGTGTAAAGAATGCGGTAAGGGCTTCAGTCGTAACTCTTATCTTCTTGCTCACCAGCGAGCCCATGCCAGTGAGGTCCAATATACATGTTGTGGGCACGGCAATGGCTCAGACCTTCTTACTCATCAAAGACTGCATGAGAGGACAGAAACGCTCTCAATGTAATTTTCAAAAGGGCCAATGAGGAAAGCAAGCAAGTCTGTGTATTCCTGGTGATAGAGGCTTACTCAGTCATTGGGAGGGCTGGGGCAACAAAGGACAAGGACGCTGCCACCCATGATGTCGTCCTGCAGCTCTGAAGCAAGGGGTTCTTAAGAGCATTCCAGGGAACTACTGTGGATCTCAAAAGCTTCTACAGAACTCCCAGCAACCGTCGTATGCTGCAGTGGCAGAGTAGTGATAATTGACAGATGGACAGTCTGTGGCAACGACAATAGTTGGAGATCAAATTTCCATGAATGGATATGCCCAGGAAGGAATTTATAATTGAGATGGGTACTGTGAGGACTTAAAGCCAGCCAAAATCTGTAGGCTTTTTTTTTTAAAGAGAGTACCCACTAGAAAGATACTCAAAAGAGTGCTCAGAAATGAAACCCATGTTATCAGTGTGGTAAGTCCATTCTCAGGTTTTCAAATCCATTAGATTTTCAAACAGGGAGAAGCTCTGTGAAAGTGATACTTTATGGGCATGACTGTGTGTCCATCTCGCTGGTTCCATTTCTTGGTCACACAGAGACTACAGTTCCCAGAAACCCTTGCAGTTAAGAGCTGGTCCACGTGATAGAGTGCCAATCCACAGAGTACATCTTGTGATGTACTAAGATGGCCTTAGAAACATCTTGTGATGTCCTCCGGCCATCTTTCTTGCCATGGTGACCTTGGAGGCTGGATTGGTAGAAGGTGGCTATGTGACCTGTGTTGGACTTTGTTTTTCTTGAGTAAGAAATAAACATTTGCTGTTTTATACTACTGCTATTTTGGCAATTTATTTGTTGCTAGTATTGCCCAGGCTATACTGACTATGACAGAGGGATTTAACAGCAACATATTTCACGGTCATTGGAGTTCACATAAGAAAGCAACTTTATAATTGAGTTCAAAACTTTCAAGTTGCTAAGGCTGTATGTGTCAGTGAAGCTATCTAAAATAGTGTGGCTAGGACTTCTTCAGTGAGAATCTTCATTCATTGGTCTGTGCATAAAAAAGAAATGTTCCAGATAATGTTCATGTGCTAAAATTTTAGCAAAAGTACGATCTATAGACATAAAGAAATCCCATGCACTAGAGAAACTCTGTAAGGTGTAATAATGGGAAAAGTTTGTCAATAAGAAATTGATCAGACTAGGTATCCTGCAAATGGTCTTAATAAAGTGAATTAAGTAAAACTAATATTTACTGAAGTGACTAACAACTTACAGAAGACCAAGAGTGTTCATTGACAGAAGCTGGCTTCTGACACCACCACTTCTCAACAATCTTGTTTAATAAAAATGGGGTTTTAGGAGGTACTCATTTGTCATGTTTCTTCCATAATTGTGATTTAATTTGAGAATATAGATGGATTTGGGAGGAGATATATTCACAATATCTTTTTTCGTCTTCAATAATAATGTCTTTTTTAGTATCTTAGTTGATTTATAAATTTCTTCATTTGGATCATGTTTTCATTTTTCTTCTTTTTTAAATACATGGTTAGAGTTTATTACAATGGAAGATACAGATAAAATTCAGCAAAGGGAAAAGACACATAGAAATATGGAGGAAACCAGGCTCAAGCTTCTGGGCTCATGTGTTTCTCCTAGTTTTTCTTACATTGTAATTTCCTACGAGTTATGGTTTATATATGGAACAGCCATTCAAAATAAAATAAAACCATCCTTAAATTGTTGCTTTTTTAGTGATCCAGGTGAGCAACAGTGAAACATTAATTAAACCCAGTGTTGGTAAGGGAATGGAAAAACTAGCGGTTGGTGGGAAAAAATACAGGTACACCATTTCTGGAGAGAAATTTGTCTATAGGTATCAAAGGGTATGGTGTGCATTATCTTTAAATTAATAATTCCACTTCTTGGAATTTATATTTACAGTATAATTGCACAATTGGGGAAAGATGCTTTCAGAAGGGAACATATTCCAAGAATATCTATAATACTAAAAATTATAAACAACCTGAAGATACATAAGAGATTGAATAAATTATGATACTTCCATATAATAAAACAAAATGTCACCATTAAAAATGATGTAAGAATTTCCAATATAGTTTGGAGAAAAGAAAAATCTTTCACATTGTAAAAGATCATTACAGGATGACCCCTGACTGATACCCAACTTTTAAGATTTATTTAGGTAGGCGGTGGGGGGAGGGGAAGCAGGCCCCCCCACTGAGCAGAGAGCCTGACTCGGGGCTTGATCCCAGGACCGCAAGATCATGACCTGGGGTGAAGGCAGAAGCTTAACCCACTGAGCCATCCAGGCGCCCCATGTACTATTAAGAGAGCCTGGGAGCACAGAAAACAGGGCTAACAACTCATCAAAGGGATGCTACCAACCACTCTGCAGCTCATCTCACTAACCCTTTGCAGACCCTGTCAGAAAGCCTGCCCATAAACTGCTGGGAACACCTCATCTGTGGACATCCTTTCCAACTGGCCCGTAGACACTACCACCACCGCCACCCCCCCCCCCCGCCCCCGCTGCCCATGCTCTCTGCACACCTCACTCTGCCCCGAACATGGCTGACTGCCAGTATGTGCTCCCCTGGGGTGAGTGCGAGCCTTTGCAGATGGCTAGTGAGCACATGCAGAAAGCCATCTCAACCCTGTGAGATTGATAGAAGACTCATAGATTTGAGCATTTCAGAGCACTGTCCTAGGGAAAACAAATGGGAGGCTCTCAGCATTTCACCTGGCTTTGTGGAATCAAGAGAAGGCATACATATCTTAAGAACTTTCCCCAAGAGGGAGCAAAAGGTATGGAATGGGCACATCCATAGACCAGGTCTAAGAAAGCCTCAGAATCCTTAACCAAAGTGACTGGTGAAGGTATTTCTCTCCTGAAGCCAGTTGGTATAGACTGGAGGAGGTGTCTTCGTTAAATGCAAAACCAGCAATGTAAGACTCCAGAGAACACACACAAAAATCATGGAAATAGGATACCACCAAAGAAACAATTTTCCAGTAATCAATCCCGTAGAAAGGTCTCAGAATTGTCTGACAATTCAAAATAATTTTTTAAAACTCAGCAGGCTACCAGAGAACACAGACAGACAATTCAGTTAAATCAGGAAAACAATGTATGAACTAGGATTTCAGGAAAGAAATAGAATTTTTTTTTTAACTTGAACATAGGGCACCTGTGTGGCTCAGTGGGTTGAAGCCTCTGCCTTCCACTCAGGTCATGATCTCAGGGTCCTGGGATCGAGCCCCATATTGGGCTCTCTGCTCAGCAGGGAGCCTGCTTCCCCCTCTCTCTCTGCCTGCCTCTCTGCCTACTTGTGATCTCTCTGTCAAATAAATAAATAAAATCTTTAAAAATAAAATAAAATAAAATAAAAAGTTGAACACATTCTAGAGCTGAAGAATACAATGAATGAAACAGAAAAAATCCACAATAGAGAGATTGTCAAATGAACTTGATCAAGTAGAGCAGAGAATCTGTGAACTTGAAGATGAGTTATTTGGTATTATCCAAATAATAGAGGAGAGAAATATCATATGCTCTCACTTATATGTGGAATCTAAAACAAAAAACCAAACTCATAGAAACAGAAAAGATTTATTTCCAGGGGCAGGGGATGAGGAGTGGTTGCAAAGGCTGAGTAGTCAAAAAGTAAAACCTCAGGTTACACATTAAGTTCTGCAGTTGTAATGTACAGCGTGGGACTGTAGTTAATAATACAGGATTGTATATTTGAAAGTTGCTAAGAGGTAGACCTTAATGGGTGCTGTGAAGTGTGTAAACCTGGCGATTCACAGACCTGTACCCCTGGGGCTAATAATACATTATATGTTAATAAAAAAATAAAAAATTTTTAAAAAAGAGGTAGACCTTTCTAATCACCAGAAAAATAATTGTAACTGTGTGGTAATGGATGTTAACTAGTCTTATTGTTGTGATCCTTTAACAATGTCTATGTGAATATATATATGTATATATATACACACACACACACATATATGTATATATATGTATATGTGTATATATGTATATATAATACATGTATTGTATATACATGTATATACAAATATATGTATATATTGTACATTATGTTGTACACGTAAAACTAATATAATGTTATGTCAATTGCATCTCAATTTTTTTCTTAAAGATTTTATTTATTTATTTGACAGAGATCAAGTAGGCAGAAAGGCAGGCAGAGAGAGGCGGGGGAAGCAGGCTCTCCGCTGAGCAGAGAGCCCGATGCAGGCTTGATCCCAGGACCTGGAGATCATGACCTGAGGTGAAGGCAGAGGCTCAACCCACTGAGCCACCCAGCCACCCCAGTTGCATCTCAATTTTTAAAATCTGAAAAAAGTTAATGAAAGAAAGGTGAATTAATATTTTTATTTTTATGACACTTTATACTTTTCAAGGTGTTGTTCTTTATGTTATTTTATTTTGCCAGTTTTATTCAATATGCAAATGCAATTTATAGGTAATAGGTCATCAAACCTACATCAAAAAGTCCTGAATTATCTTGCTAAATTTGAACTTTTAACTCAATAAGAATTATATATAAGTATCCCAATTTTGCA